GGAGCCAGATACTGCAGTGTCCTGGGCTCTCTATCTGCAGCCTAGTCGTGTGCCCAAGAGGGGCTCACTGATCACATAGGGCCCCCAGTCTGGTCCCTGGTGAACACTTCCTCAGAAGGCTTTCCAGCAAAGAGCAAGTCAGACTCCATGGTGACACAAGTGTACCTAGAGCTGAGTGACTTTGGTCAAATTCCTTGGCCTTCTCAGTCTGTTCCTCATCTGTAAGATGCTGGCAATAACCTGGGCAGGGTCATTGTGAGAATCAAACATATTAACAATAACAATGATAATAATAGTAATATCTGATACTCATGAGCACAGACAGGATGTCGGGCCAGGGCTCAGCATTTTGCATGAATTCACTCTTGTCTTCCTCCCAATCGTTATTAAACCCATGGGACAGATGAAGGGACCAGGCACCGAAAGGCTAGGTTAGCTGCCCAAGATGCCAGGAGGCTGCCTGGAGGAGCCCTGGTGACTGCATAGGAGCCGCCAGGCTGTCCCACTTCTGCACAGGAACGCGGCATGGGCCTGGCCTGCAGTGAAGGCTCAGCTCTCCCCAGCCCCACCTAGACAGCCCTCTTCTCAGGGGCTAGCTGCTCACAGGTTCCCTCCGCTCAGCGTGCCCCCCCTCCTCTCCCACCCCCCTGTGTGCTGGGGACGGGGGGGGGCTGCCTCTCCTCTTCCGTACAAGGGAAAAGCCAAGCAGACGCCAGCCTCCCTCCTGTGGCATCCTGTCCTGGAGATGAGAGGATGCTCCCAGTTGGCTCCCGATGAGCCACAGGTGCCCGGGAGTTTATAGGCTTCTCCCCCGCCCAGGCACACCCCGCAGAGCAGAGGCCCAGCTGTGCCATCCCAAGGAGTGATAACAGGAGGGTGACAGCTAGAGGAAGAGGGAACAGGCACAGGCTGCCTGGGTGGTCTCGGGCGGCATTTGGAGGCCAGGTGGGCAGGGGGCTCACCTCATACAAAACAAAAAGCTTCTGAAAAAAGGCCTGTGATGTGTGTGCCTCCTTAGAATGGAAGCAAGCTTGCTTGTATCACTATCAACAACATGCCCATTATAAGGGTGAGGAAACTGAGGCCCTGACAGGTGACAGGGCTCTGTATTCTAGCAGCTGCCTAGTGGCTGCAAGATGCTGTCTAGGTCTGGACAAGGATTAGATGCTGCACCCCTGACTCGGTGTCCCATCTCCTCCTCTCTGTGATGGGGACCAGGAGCTGGGCATGGGTGCCACCACCCAGGGACTCAGCTCATCCAGGTGCTGTTGGAGGCAGTGGTGCTCACGGAGTTATGTTAATGCTGGTGGGAAGTCTCCGGGCAGGGACCAGGCTGTCACTACAGGCAGCTCAGGCTGGCACACAGAGGTGGGCATCAGGCTGCCCAGCAAATGAACCCCAGAATCCACAGACTCCCCAGCAGGCCCTGCTGGTCTTTCACCAGTGTTGACATCTATCAGGAAAAGGCTTAGTCCTGGACCCTGAAGGAAGCCAATCAGCTGGGTACCATCTTATTAACGGGGCACCCCAAAACAGAAGGCACAACTCTGCCCAGAGTGTTATTACCGACCCAAGCCCCAAGTTACCCAAGGAGCTTCCAAGAAAAGGCAGATTCCCGGGCCCGCCCTCAGGGACTGGCCACCAGGGGTCTGGGGTGGAGCCCAGGAATTTGTACTCTCCGTGCCTCCCCAGGAATTCTGATGAGCACCATGCTGAACAAACTCCATGGCAGGGAAAAAAGAATCTCACAGCCAGGAGCCTGTGGTCTGCGAAATGCTGGGCTCACTTGCGTCCTATCTCACTCGCTTCCTACCTCACTCTCAAAAGGTCCAAAAATGCACATGCCTAATTGGTCAAGTTGGCCAGCTGCCAAACTTTGCCTCTTCCCTGACCCAGGCAACCACACCAAATGGCATGCACAGAGCCTGCACAGGCTGAGCCCCAGGGCACCCTTGCCCACCCCCCAGTGCTCATCTGGGAGGGGAGGAGATGGGGCACCGAGTCAGGGGTACAGCATCCAATCCACGCTCTAACTCTAGGTGGCATTTGTGACCACTACGCTAAACTCCCCGTGGATGGAGAGGGGTCCTGGCGGCTGCTGGAATGTGGAGCCTGCCGCCTCTCAGGGGTGTCAGTCTCTGCACTGGACTGTGGATGGCAATGGCAGTGTCGAGCTCACCAGGCTTGCTGAGGATTACGGGAGACAATGAAGGACATAAAGCGCTTACTTTGTGCTGAGCAGAGGAGCTCCACAGGCTGAGTAATTAAGCTTTTCACCTGCGTGAGCTCACCTAATCCTTCACAACCTCCCTGGGAGGTGGAAACTATTATGAACCCTACTTTTCAGATGAGGGACATGGAGTGACTCACCCTGGGTCATGTGGTAGAAACAGCAGAGCTGGGATTTGAACCTGGGGAGTCTGGCCGGCTCTGGAGCCCACACTCCAACCATCAGGCTGTGCCACCTTGATAGTGCTGAGCCTTATCCACGGCCTAGGGGGAGCAGAAGCTGGAGACAAAGGGCCACAAAGACCCTGACTTTGGGGGAAAAGGAGGATGGCACACCTGACAGGAGGGGGCACTGAACTGAGTGTCACTTAAGAGAAAAACCAAACCTGGAAGCACAGGACCCACTGAGGTCCAGTTGGAAGGTCTAGCCAATATCTGCAAGTCCAGGGAAATGGTCACCCTGAAGAGAGAAATCAAGTCTACCTTCGCCTCACTTTTACCTCATCTCCATTAAGTTCTGCAGGGGCTTTTCAGGAAAAAGAGAAGTTGAAAAAGTGCTATATGCCCCATCAGGAGGGAGATTCACAATGGACATCAGCAACATAAAAGCTCTGTTAAGTTCTGCAGGGAAATCTGTTTCGTTTCTCCAACCTAGCATTTCTCACACATAATTGACCGTGATCCTCAGCAAGGGCTGCAGACTTTTTCTCTCAGTATTATTTCTGAAAATAATAAATATTTTCAGCTTTGTGGGCCATGGAGGCTCTATTATAACTACTCACCTCTGCCGTTACAGGACAAAAACAATCCTAGACAATCCATGAACCAAGGAACGTGGCTGTGTGCCAATGAGACTATTTATGGACAACGAAGTGGAAGTTTCGTGTGATTTTACATGTCATGAAATAGCCTCCTTTTGACTTTTCTCAACCATTTAAAAATGTGAAAACAATCCTTAGCTCACAGGCCACACAAAAACAAACTATAGGCCGAATCTAACCCACAGACAAAGTTTGCGGACCCCCAACATAAAAAGATGGGAAATCCAGCATCTTTGATGACCCACTTTTAAGTGTCAGGGGTGTGGACAGGGGAAGGAGGGCAGGAAAGGTCGGGAGGCCGTCCATAGGAAGAAGACTGGCCTGAAAACAAGATAAGTGTGGTCCTCAACTCTGTGGCCCCCTTCCCATGTGGCTCATCAGGCCAGTAATTCCAGACCAAAGCAGCGGCCTCTGATAGGACGGAAAAGAGGCAAAGCCCAGGAGCAATCGAGGAAAAGGTTATAAAATTCAGCTATGCTGTCTAAATCCACTTGGCAAAACCCAGCATTAACCACAGTAAGAGGGAAAATACAGACTGGGAAACTATCTGCAGCTCAATCACAAGGGGCCAAACGTCTCTAAAATATAAAGAAGAGAACGACTAACACCTGGTGAGAACAGTGGGCAGAGGATGTGCCGAGACGGTGCACAGGGCACACCCGAGGAGGATCCCAGCTCCAGGATCCCGTCCGTCATCTGTGGGATTAGCAAGAAAGGATGAGTTTGGGAACTTGTGCCGGCTAAGATGGGAAAGCAGGTGCCCTCGGGAACTGCTGGTGGGGTGCCGAAGGAGGGGCCCCTATGGAGGGTAAGTTAACAATATCTGTCAAATCCACAAATAGCGTGACTGCGGGCATTTATCCCAGACCTACACTCATTCATGGGGACAATGACGTTTACACTGAGGTTTTCCACTGCAGCCCTGTTTGTAAAAGCCAAAGACCAAAAAACCTAGACGTCCCTCCCAAGGAGACTGGGTAAGTCACCTTTGGTAGCAATAACAACAACAATAATAATAACAGCTTAAAGCCCCACCCAGGGACCAGCAGCCTCTCCATCACTTGGAGGCTGGTTAGAAGAGCAGACTCCCAGCGTCCACCCCAGAATCAGAATGTCCATTTTAACAAGATGCCCAGGGGGTTCGGGTGCATGTTAAGGCACTATTTTAACTCTTTCCGTATTAACTCATTTAATCTCAGAACAGCCCAATGGCCCCGGGCCCTCTCATTACCTGCCTGCTGGAGGGGAGAAGCTGAGACTCTGAAGTTGAGTCACACAGCCAGTAAGAGGCAGAGATACACTCACTGCACAGAAACACAAATACAAACAAACACAAACACAACAGCCTTTAAACAAATGAGGAAATCACTGAAAGGACCAACCTCCAAGATAAGTTGTCTTTGCCTCAACCAGGGCAGTGGTTCTTAACCAGGGGCAATTGTGCCCTGCAGGGACATTTGGAAATATCTGGAGACATTTTTGGATGTTACAACTGGGAAAGGCCACAGGCACCGGGTGGACAGAGGCCAGGGTGCTGTCAAACATCCCACAATGCCCAGGACAGCCCAGAATGTCCCGTGGCCTGGGGTGCAGGAGGCACAGCAGGACGTCTCAGACTGTTATATGCTCAGCCATCCCCTGGGGCTCACCAAAGTGCAGGTTCTGACGCAGCAGCCCTGAGATGGGCCAGAGTCCACGTTTCTGTCCCCGGTGCTAAGGTGCCACTCAAAGAGGCCTTACCCGACACAGCAGCCGCCTGTGTAATCATCCCGTGCAAAGGGGCTAGTGGCTGCTTTCGGTTCAGATCCAAGGCTGGACACAGAGGGCTGGTTGGGGAGGAGGCAGGGGAAGCCTTTTCTTGAGGGAAACAAGCAGGAGCATAGTGGAGGCCCACATAAGTCCAGGAGTACAAGCTGCATCAGAATCGCCTGGGAGGGGGCTGGGACTTACCATCCAAGGTCTCCACAGAGAGCTGCAGGCCCAGGTTGTGCCGTGGGTTGACCACCCAGTGGTTGCTGGTGGCCGTGATGTCGAACACCAGCCAGCCTTCCTCCGACGCCCAGAGGGTGCGGCTGTCAAGCAGGAACAGGTCCGACTCCCTACAAGAGAGGAGGAGACACAGGCTCAGCCACCCAGTGATCCAACAGACACTGATGGAGACGAGGTCCATGTGGGGTGGGGGAGGTGGGAGGAGGTCTGCTGGTCCCCAAAAGTGAGTGTATCAGACCAAGATCCAGGCACAGAGACCCCTTAGTAGCTATGGTGAGAACAGGGATTGCAGGAACGGTGTAAAGAGATAACACAGGAGACAGGGCGCTGCTAGGAGGCAAGCTCGCCCTTCAAATTTGTTAGAGGGATGCCAGTGGTACAGAAGTGATACAACCCCATGGTGCTGGACATCCTGGGGAGCAGTAGTTCACACTTGCTGATTACTCGCCAATTGCCAGGCATTGTCCCAAGGGTTCTACACACATTGTCTCATTCAGTTCTCCCAACCCTAAGTTGTGGGGATATTATCATCTCCATTGCATACGTGGTAAAACCATGACTTGCCCCAGGTCATTTAGCCAGAAGTTGCCAAGTTGGGGCTCAAGACCAGGCAATTAGGCCCCAGCACAGACACTCTTCATTTCCAGGCCATGCAACGTCTTCCCAAGCCCATAGGTGTTAGGAGGTGAACTCCTAGACTGATGTTATTAAGCCCTTTAATTCTCTCTTCCTCCCATGATGCAATAGCAAAATGGGTAAGACCACAACTGACCTCGTAGGGGACAGAGGATGGATAAAGGGATGGATGATAGATGGGTGGATGGATAGATGGATGACAGATGGGTGGATGGATGGATGATAGGTGGATGGGTGGATGGATGGATGATGGATGAGTGGATGGATGGATAATAGATGGGTGGGTGGGTGGATGACGGATGGGTAGATGGATGGGTGGATGAGTGAGTGGGTAGGTGGATGGATGGATGATAGATGGATGAGTGGATGGATGATAGATGAATGGGTGGATGGATGGACGGTGATGGGTGGGTGGATAGATGGATGATGGATGGGTGGATGGATGGATGGATAATAGATGGGTGGGTGGATGGATGGATGATGGATGGGTGGATGGATGGATGATAGGTGGATGGGTGGGTGGATGGATGGATGGATGATAGATGGATGGGTGGATGGATGGATGGATGATAGATGGATGAGTGGATGGATGGATGATAGATGGGTGGTTGGATGGATGGATGATAGGTGGATGGGTGGATGGATGGATGGATGATAGATGGGTGGGTGGATGGATGGATGATAGGTGGATGGGTGGATGGATGGATGAGTGAGTAGATGGGTGGATGAATTTTACATTCCTAGATAGTAGAATTCTAGTATCTAAAGTATCATAACATCTCTTTTTAATTATAAGGATTCAGTTTCAATATTTCGAGTCTTTGATAGTCCTCAGCAATGCGATGAGAGAAGACACACTGCTCTGAACAAAACAGGCCCCCAACTGAGACAGGCCCAGGCCCCTGTAGGAACACCCACCACAGCACAGAAGTCACAGACCTGGGTGGTGCTGTGCTGGGAAACTGTGCTTTGTAGGAAAATGTGACCAGCGATCTGGATAGGCCCTTATGGGCAGCAGAACAACAAATAGTGACTGAAGAAACGGAAGCGGGCCTTTGATGAGCAACGGCCTTGCCAAACGATACTAAGCATTCTCTTATTACAGGCCGTGACTCCGAGGGCCAGATGTTGCAGGCCAGCGCTGACTCATCCATGAGTCCAGTGAATGCTTGGCTCCCCTCCTCCAAGCCACAGTCTGCACTTTGTTCCAGGCACGCTGGGAAGAGCCAGCCTTTGTGTGATGGCATCGGGACAGGAGACCCGTGTCAAGGTGGGGCAAGTGAGATCCTAACACAGGCCCTGCTTTTAGACGGAAGGCCCAGGCATGAGGCTGCCCACATGAACATGACCATGAAGAATGCTTGACAGCCAAGCCCAGCCAGCCAGGTGGGAAAGTGGGAATTCGTAGCTGCCACCTGGGGCATCTTATTAGAACACAATGGCTCTCACAACCAGGAGGAACTGAACAAGTCCTTTGTGACATATTTATTTACCTTGAACATACTGGCCTCCCCAGCCCAGCCCAGGTGAGAGCAGAGGTGGGAAAGGCTCAGGGTGAAGGGCCCCAGGGAAACCTGCCACTCTCCCACTGTAGAAACTCTGGGGCTTTCCTTGCTCGGGTTCTATTAATCTCCCCAACAATAAGATTACTGTTCCCATTTTACAAATGAGCGAAGTGAGGTTCAGAAGTGAAGCCAATTGTCCGCATTGATAGACCTTATAAGTGATCTCAAACTCGAGCACTGAAGCCAATCACCTCCATAACTCACCCTCTAACCTGGGGACAAGAGACACAGGAAGCTGCTGAATCCTGCAGGTGTTATTGTCACAACATTGCATGAGGCAGAGAAAATTCTAGAGGCATGAGATTGAGGTGGTGGGGGAGGGAGAAGGCAAGTAGGTCAGGCCAGCTAAATCTTGAGCCACAGTTTCCTCCTCCATCAAGTCAAGACAACGCCACCTTCTTCAGTGACTGGTGAGAGCCCAGTGAAGCCCAACCTGGGATAAAACTGTCAAGGTCCCTGGGGTGTCTCTGCAGTTACTACAAGTTATTTGGGTGCTGGCATCCACTCCCTGAGAGACTGCAGGAAATGCTGGGGACTTTATCGGTCTTGGCCCCAGGCGTTATGTGACTTCTAAAGATCCACATGTCAATTGACCATCCATCCATCCATCCATTCACCCAAAGGATGGTCATTTGATTCCAAAATTCATCAGACAAGTATCCATATGTTCACATCTCTAGATTTTCTGGAAATACGACCACTAACAATTCCTCCTATCACTGTACCCACATGCAGCTCTACCACACATTGGTGTAGTGTGTCCCTCCTCTGAAGTCTGGGCTGACCATACAGGACCAGTGGGAGGGAGGTCCCACCATGTCCAGGGCTAGAATGGAAGAGGCTTAGCAGTTCTCCCTGAGAAGCCGGCCACTGGGTCAAGAAGTCTGACTATCCTGCTAAAGAAAGAGATTGCAGGAAGGGGAAGGAGGTGGAGGCCATGGAGGAGTCAGGTCTATGAGAGAAATCAGCCCCTGGACTAGGTGCCATCGTGGGTGTTCCAGCCCCAGCCAAGCTCCCAGCTTCATCAGTGATGCAGCAGACACTACAGAGTAGAACCGCCCGGCGGAGCTCTGCCTGAATTCCTGAGCAATAAGGTAACTGTTGTTTTAGCCACTGCATTGTGGGTGGTTTGTCTCCGACAGACATGGAACCAAGCAACAGTCCCACTGTTTATAACAGAAAAACTGAAAACCATCTACAAAGAGGGACTGGTACAAACATTATGTGCATACAAGTGCTACACAGCTGCACCAAAGGTCTCTGTAAATCTGTACTTCCTGGCAAGGGGGAAATATGGAATGAAGCAAGCAGGTGTTATAAAACAGCACGTGCAGTATGTACATTTCTGGGAAAATGCAAAATGCTAAAAATGGTGAAAAAAGGTATTGAAATTTTGAGTCATCCAATATACATTAAAGAACTGAAAAGGAATAAAAGGCTTTTCCAATCCCTGCAGATGGTTTTATACTGTAGTTTTTAAATCAAATTATCAACAGATAATTTTGTCTTATACAAATTGATCAAGAAAATGGAAGAGGGCCAATTGCAAAGCTAGTATTGTAAAGTTAGCATGCTATTGATTCCAAAACTGGATAAAACCAACTTGAACAGACATTTCTCTAAAGATGTACAAACAGTCAGTGAGGTCATGAAAAGATAATCAACATCTCAGGGAAATGCAGATCAAAGCCACAGTAGGACAGCACTTCACACCCACTAGCACGGCTTAAACCAGAAACAGACAGTATCAAGTGTTGACAAGGATGGGGAGAAACTGGAACCCTCATACCCTGTGGGAGGAATATAAAATGGTGCAGCTAGTTTGGAAAACAGTACAGCAGTTTTTCAAAAGGTGAAATGTGGAGTTGCCATATGACCCAATAATTTTACTACCCATGAGAAATAAAAATCCTATCCACAAATGTTCATAGCAGCATTATAATAGTCCAAGAACTCAAATAGCCACCACCTGATGAACAGATAAACAAAATATGGCAAATCCCTACAGTGGAATATTATTTGGTTATAAAAAGAAACGAAGTACTGACACATCCTGCAACCCGCATGAACTCTGAAATCTTTTAAGTGAAAGAAGACACAAAGGACCACATATTGTATGATGCCATTTATATGAAGTGTCCAGAGAGGCAGCTCCACACAGAAAGATTAATAGCTGCCAACAGGTGGGGGAGAGGGAAATGGGGGAGGGTCGTTGTTAGTGGGTATAGAGTTTCCTTTTGGGATGATGGAAATGTTCTAACATTGAATAGTGGCATTTGTTGCACAACTCTGAATATACTAAAAACTACCAAACTGTATACTTTATAAGTATATATCTCAATAAAGCTATTTTAAAAAATGGACAAAGACAACATAAGTCCAAAGTATAGCCCAATGTCATTACACTAATAATATTTTGAAGGTTTACACACCTATGCATGAAAAGCACATATGCCCTTAACTCCAGAGTTTCAGCAAAAATTCACTCTGAAGTTGCTCCCCTCTATACATGTATGTCAACATTGTCTCAATTTAGCAAGCACAGTTCTATTTCTGCAAGAGCAAGATCCATTGGGGGCAACAAATTTCCATGTCCTGCTGGATCTGCAGGACAAGCCTGGGCCAGGCAGGTGGCTTGGCTCTTGCCCTTCCACCAGGCAAACAGAGAGGCAGTGAGCTGGGGTGCAAACCTGGCGCTCCTGCCTCCTTCTTACACAGCTTCCAATGGAAGAAACAGACAGAATGAACACCCCAAAGGTCAACTTCTTGCTGCCTGAAACCCAGGTTCCTCCAAAGCCCTGCTCTCTGTGAGGCATGAACCACCAGTGACCCCAACTCTATGGGGCTGGGGGTGTTAATACTTAACCACCGGCCTGGGGAGAGAGTGTTGCTGGGGCTTGCGGGCTCCT